TGACAATGTGCAACAAAATAAGCATTATGACAAAGATGAACAAATACTGTTATTTAAATGTATTGTTCATTGCATGCTTGTGTTAGTATAACTAACCTTAACTAGAACCTTGTGGTAAAGTGTTATCATGTTTTTAAAGCGAGTACTCCCAAAATCACCTTCTGTAAATGTATTGCAAAGCTAATTCAAAATATCACCTACAAAACGTTAGCAAAGCATACATAGTTAGCCACTTGATAATGATGTGAACGCGTTGATTACTGATCAAAGCTGTGTGCCAGAGGTGTAGCGGGTGGTTAATGACAGGGTGAGTCTGGGATTAAATATGAGATGGGTAAATGGAGATGAGGGAGTCGGGTTGCATGTGTTTTCAGCTCTACTGTTCATACTGGAGCATTGTGAGCAGGCCGAGGGGGAGGCCCTGGAGCCCAGCGGCGGACGCAAGCGACAGCTGTCACAGCCTCTGCTGAGAGCCGCTAATGACCACGCTTCACATAGGTGTCCTGCAACAGCTCCAGCCAAACAGCAACTGCATTATCCCTTTCTGCATGGCAGGCCTGAAGATTACGTAACCCAGGGCTAAAATTATACAATGGCGATTAACTTTGACTACTGACTTAAAATTGAGGGAAAAAAATTAGGAAGAGTAAATAGAAGAATTGCTGTTTAAAACATATAAATCATATGATTTAAGGACTGAAATTTTCTTTTGACTTTTATATGAAAATCTAAAATAAAAGTTAAGCCAAAGTGTGTCTACACTTAGATTAGTTGACTTTATTTTGAAAAAAATAGTAAACCTGTTGCCTTAAAAGGTAAAAACCAAAAGTTAAGGCAACTCAAAACAATTGTGGAAACCGATTGCAACAAACCATATAAGTTCAAAAACTAATCCTAATGAGTACTGTGAACTTAATCCATTTGAGTGCACAAGGCAATTTGAGCTCAGTAAAACCCAATAAATCAAGAGAACTCAAACCAACTGAGTACTGTAAAACCCAATAAGTTAAAGCAGCTCAAACTGTTTGAGGAAACAGATTGCTACAAACCATTTGGGTTAAAAAAAAAAAAAAAAAAACTAATCTAAATGAGTTCTGTGAACTTATTCCATTTAAGTTGGTATTTAATTAACTCATCTTGAACACTGAGTTCAAAACTCTTTTCAAATGAGTAGAATTAACTTTCAGTCAATTTTGAGTTAACTTAATTCATTTCATTAGATAAAGTTGACTGTTGGGTTTTACAGTGTATGTCAGGGGTGTCAAATTAGTTAAGTTACGACTCTACTTCAACACAAATGCCGCGGTTACACTAGAGTTTGAGCATGAGAAATCCTGTTGTATGGCACTGGGGGTGGGATTAAACAAGATGATTAGACATTTAAAAAAGCAAGCGATTGGTCCATATTTTAAATTACTGTCCAGAGAGGTCATGTTTTGATCTTCGATTGGTCTCACGCAGTCATGTGATGCAATTTCGCAGGTCAGAGTTCACCAAGCTTGAACTATTCAACGCAGCGAACTGCAAAACGTATGGGTTGTTTTCACATGACGTCAATTCAGATGGAAGGCAGGAAGTGATTTTTCTACAGGAATTGCATTCAGAACATCAAAATGTTTCTGTTTTATGTTGTATACAATTGTTTAAATCGGCCAAAATAAGAAATGGCGAACAGCTTTTATAGAACTCCAAAGGTTTTTGCTCATAAAGGGGGTAAAGTTCAAGAAACTTGCTGAAAAACGGTAGAAAAGGTGGCATGTAATAAACATTTATTCACAGAGCTAGCTATGTTTATAAATATGTTAACGTGTTATTTAAAAATCAGATACAAACATCACCACACTTATACAAAATCCAGGAGAATATAAATCACATACCCTGCCATGTAATCGCTACATTACCATCTTGTTTTCCAATTATTCAAGTCTTTACTGGCGTTTCAACAGAATGAACAACTGTAAAGGGAACATTGAGATGTGCGGCAGCGGTGAATGTTTGTTTATAGTAAGTTTATTGACAGAACAAAAAAGAAAATGCTGCCTTCAGACAAAACTAGATGGTTATTATTGTGGAGCATTTTTCCCCTTACAAAAATAAATAAATAATAATGTAGACTATGCATCCATGGTTTTGTATGTGTTCATCCAGTCTGATCTCACGAGGAAACGTAAGTATTTTACGTTTTGTCAGTTTATAGTGGCTAATTGGCACGAATTTGTTCGAGTTGAGTCGTACAACAATGTATGATTTTTAAAAGTAAGCATGGCCCCAACCCCACCCCTAAACCCAACTGCCATGGTGATGGGCAAATCGTACTAAATTGTACGAATTAGATCCGCTAATTCATACGAACTAGCCAATAAATAAAAAAAAGTTACGGATTGCCGTGAAATTGAGTTGGTTTATCTGTTTGTGATGTTTGTGATGTCTGGAAGATATCTACATGGGGAATAAACTATAGTAATTTATATTGAACATGTTTTTGAACCACATAAAGTGTATAATGTGTATAACTCATTGTTAATGAATGCTACAGAATTATTAATATAATTAATGGAGACAGTTTAAATCAAGTACTGTAATTATCTATAATATGCTTCCAAACACTTTTTTATAGTATTTACTAGTATTTTTCATGTAATGTAATTATACAGTATGTACTGCATCGATGACAGGCAAATATATTTTAGTTCAGTAGAAAACTCGGCCTTCTCCATGATATAAGGATCATGCCAAGTATATGTGGTAATTTTCTTTTTATCTCTCCTTTGAAATATGGTTAAAATTGCAAAAATACAGACTTTCCACTATGTCTCCCATTTAATTTTCAGTGGAAGTCTGTTGGGCGAAAAGTCCAGTGTGACCGCGACTTTACCTGAAGATTTTAAACAAGCCTGAAGGACTCAATTAGCTTGATCAAGTGTGTTTAATTAGGGTTGGAACTAGGGCTTCCAGGAATTTAAGACCTATGAACTATGTAATTAGTTATAAAAACTAAGTTAAATCAACTCAAAAGTTTCCTTTTTTTTACAGCGTAATGCTAATTCTCGCAGAACTGAAAATAATAAAAAGTAGGTTGTGTAACAAATATTTAACTAATATTTAAAATATGAAAGTATATAATAAAGACCACACACTATGGCCAATTTAATCCAATTCAACTATAGCGCATATGCTTGGACATGCAAATCCCACACAGATATGCTGACCCAGCCGGTGAGGAGAGGCGACAGTGCTAACCACTGAGCCACCGTGCCACATAGACACTTACAGTTGAAGTCAGAATTATTATGCCCCCCTTTGACTTTTTTTTAATTTTTTGAATATTTCCAAGATAATGTTAAACAGAGCGAAGAATTTTCACAGTATGTCTGAAAATATTTTTTTCTTTTGGAGAAAGTCTTATTTATTTTATTTCGCCTAAAAAAAGCAGTTTTGAATTTTTTTAAAAAACATTTTAGGGTCAAAATTATTAGCCCTTTTAAGCAATTTTTTTCCTAAAGTCTACAGAACAAACTGTCGTTATACAATAACTTACCTAATTACCCCTATTAACCTAATTAACATGGTTAAGCCTTTAGAACTTTAAGCTGCATTGAAGTGTCTTGAAAAATATCTAGTCAAATAATATTAACTTTCATCATGGCAAAGATAAAATAAATCAGTTATTAGAAATTAATTTGTAAAACTGTTATGTTTAGAAATGTGATGAAAAAATATCTTCGTTAAACTGAAATTGGGGAAAAAAATAAACAGAGGGGCTAATAATTCAGGGGGCTAATAATTCTGACTGCAACTGTATGTTAAAGCTTAAATTAGTTAGCTCTGTTAACTCTTTTTACTCTCCATGTCTATCCAAACCTGTTAGTGTTTTTTCCAATGTTGAACACAAAGAAAGCTGTAAAGAATGTTGCAAAGCAACAGACATTGACATCCATATTATGTTAGATGTTAGTGGCTGCTGTTTAAAACATTCTACAGAATATTTTTTTTTTTTGTATTCAGCGAAAGATAGAAATTTATAAAAGTACAGAACCCCTTGAGCGTGAGTAAATGGTTGAAGAGATTTAGTGGGAATGCAAATGTTTTGGGTTGTTATATTGTTAAAAATCAAAGAATAACCCACAATCCATAAAAAACATAGTGAATGAATCAAATGTATATTTGACGCTATTTGGATATTTGGATTATTATTCAATTTAATAATAATAATAACCCTGATAACCCAGATTAATAAAGGGACTAAGCCGAAAAGAAAACGAATGAGTGAATATTAATAATAATAATAATAATAATAATAATAATAATAATAATAATAATGAAACTGTCAAATTATTGTTATGTACAGTATATAACATTATACATATATAATATATATATATTAATTTACAACAGTCTCTGAGGTTCTATATGGTGTTGGTTCACTTCCGAATAATAACCATTTCATATTCCTATATTACAAGAAAAATTTACAAATATACTCCACCAAGAACATACTCATCCTGTATCACCTTAAGTATACCTTAAGTATTTTGGTAACCAAACTCATTCAGTGGACATTGGGTTTCCTAATACTGGGTTGTGGCTGGAAGGGCATTCGCTGTGTAAAACATATGCTGATAAATTATATAAAATGGGAGCAACTTTTGACCTTGAAATGTTCGAAAAAGTTAATTTATTATTATTTTTAATAGTTTAAAGTAGCACGTTTGTGTTATATAAGGTACAAAATCCTTGTAATATACTATGAGCATGTGTTCTGTCATTTTACACACTTATTTCTCTATAATATTTTAATGCATTATATTATTTATAATATAATTGTTTATTATATATAAACTTAAAAGTCAATAAAAGTCATTTTGTAAAACGGTAGAGTTGAATTTTCAACATTAAAAGTCAACAGAGCAGAGATCAAGGTTGCAAAATGCAGACTGCAACTGTAAATAAATGGAAAAACACAAAAAACAAAAACAAAAAAAAGAACAACTTGTGAACAAAAAGCCAGATCTTATTTTTTACAGTGCATGTGTTTTAAATAAACATTTTTTTAAACAGTTTTATCCACTAAAATAAGAGTTTGGACAGCTAAAATCTTTATTAATAGAAAGATAACGTATTTATTTGAAAAAAAAAACTAAATAAATTTAATATATTTTAAATATCTCTTGATTTTTCCTTTTTACTAATTGTATTTAAGATTTTCCCCTGACATATTAAATTAGGTGTACACATTTGAACAGTAATCTTGAGTTATTTGTTAGAGTAGTCCAGTTTTGGCTTACTGAATAATCTAATGTAAACGCACACGTAGAGAATATCATTATATAGGCTATGACATTATACAAACACAATAACCTGAAATACAGAAAAAAAGAACATCACATGTCCTTGACCCATATTAATCACAATCCTCAACTGTCAGACATCATGCATTATCGCTTTGTAGACAGAGCCTGGAGCATTCCAAGTGTTCTCAACAGCAGACTTCTGCATCACCCAACTTTATGCTGAACAAACAATAGTCAATGAAAGAGGGAGGAACCATTGCCGCTCCAGGTGTCGCACCAAACACACGGGCCACTTCGCTGTCCATCCGTCTCGATCTGGATCAACGTCGTGTCGTGTCATCACATTGTTTCCTCGAACTGCAAAACCTACACGATCCGATCGCTTTGATTTGCGATTTCAACGCCGAAGTCGTCCGGAAACTGCGGATGCCACTCAGTTTGCCATCATCTCGGAGTGTCACCTTGCGTTTGTGCCGTTGCCCCACAACTTCATTACGTCATTTTTATGGACCGAGGTAAGTTTCGAATCGCATTCTGAGAAAAGAATCGATCATAAACAGTAGGATCGCATGATCGTACATGGTGTTATTAATAGTTCGCGACTTTGAAGGGAGATCGGACGGGAGATTCCGCTTGCTGTCGTGATGCGAATAGGCATTGTTTCAGCGAAGCTCTAATTGAGATTAGATTAAGATTAGAGATCAATCTAGTGACAACTCACTTTATATGACAGTCGCTCTTGGAATGATTGCTTTCTTTGTGGTTGAATAGCAGAACATAAAACAGCCTATCGTGTCGCGCACACACTCACACACATAACCTCTGCCATAACCCATTCTGTTTGTCCATGCGCTATTTTTAGGAAGTTTCTCTTCTGAAGAGCCTACCATTGAACCGTCTGTATATAAATGTAATTCAATGGAGTTTGACGATTTCGAGTGTTCAGGTCATTGCATACTAATTCAATTGATGGGTATTTCAGTATACGTTGTGGAAGAAATATTTCGAAACAAGAAATCCTTATTGTGTTTGCTGCACTCTGCTGACGAGATGATCATTGAGATTGGCTACGTGCAACATAACAAGAAAGCAAGCATTTTTTTTTTTAGCAAAGGGTGTGTTAGACAATGACGTTTGCATATACGGATAACGAGTTTTAACATAGCTACTTTTTAGAACCGTATAAAATGCAGTTATTCTGTTGGCCCTGACTTTGTTGTAAACAAACAACTTAAACTGGTGTAATATTTAATTGCTGCATTTAATTATAAAATAGCATATTGTCGTGATATAAAGTATTTTTACTTGTAATATAATGAGTCAGGTTAATGTGCTTTGATTCATTAAAATGAATCGACTCGAAAGAGTCACTTCAAGGATTAGTACTCAGATGTCGTTTATGGGTGCGTTGTTGATTTGCTAAACGAGTTGGTTCATCTTGGAGAGTCCTACTTCGTGATTCGAACGATCTTACACTGAATCGACTCAAAAGAGAATCATAATCAGGAATGTTTATTAGTGTTTGCTGTAATGTAATTAAGTAAACTGAGATTCTGAAAATGCGCATTTAAGAACCGATAGCGGGAACGATCATTTTTTTGTGTGTTGTTGTTAAACCTGCTTTAAACACGATTTACTTTTTATATGTGATCATTTAAGTCTCTTTTATAGATAGGCTATATTTTAATAAAAAAAATAATGCGACTTTGACCCCGAATACATTTAATTGAATGTTTTCTTGGCTTTTAGATTTGTACAGCGCAGAAACAACAATTTATTTACACACTTAATTTACCAACATCCACTTTATGCATTTCAGATCGTGCATTCCACTTTAAATATGAACTAAGAACCGACCCTAACTCAGCAAACAGCTGTGCATTTAAATGATAAACTTGTTGATGCAGAGCAACACACGATCCATCACTGGAAACCAATTATTTTAGATGGAAAAACATGGAATGCAATGCCCAGCATTAAATTAGGTTATCAGCTATCTTCCATCATTGTATCGATTTTTTTTTTTTTGACATGATTACTTTCAAAAATCAAAGCTATTATTAGACATTTTGCATATTTTTTTTTCTTTCGTACAATAGCGATCAATAGCTTCGGATGGTCTTAAATCTAAACCCAATGTTACTTTGAGAGCTAATACAGACTAGGGCGGGGCTTTGCTGCTTTACTTTTTTGTTTTGTTCAGTTTTTTTTTCCTCCCCTCTCCCTGAAAGCTTGTCGGATGCTTGTCAGTTCGCATTTAGCTTACCATTATCAAGGCTCAAAGCCTGTAGAGGACGACGGACTGCGATTTACAGGGAGTTTTTGGATAACGGTCCCGTTGAATTGGGATCTTCACTATACAGGGATAAGGAATATGCGAATGAAACATTTGCAACACAGCAGAGGATGTTCGTGCTTCCTAAAGAATGTGCATGACTGATCTTTCACATAAGGACACTTCATGAATAAAAGCATATGGTAAGGCATTTTATGGTTTTATCAAACTAATTAGTGTGTAGACATATTGGCCAAATAGTATTTTTGATACGCGAAGCAGCTGTAACAAATCGCTAAAGTTGAGAAAACAGGTTTACGGTATTATCAAAATATTTTTATTCTAACTAAATCCTGCTACTTATGTTTGCATGCTCATTTTCATACAGGGAAGACTACTTATTGTACTTATTAGCTTGGAAACAAACTGTTTAACTGGTTTTGCTGTTGTTTGATAAGGATAATGAGCCGAATGAAAGGGAGGAGGACGTGTAAGCATTATTATCATGGCTGTCATGGTGCCAGGGAACATCTGCTGGTGCGAAGCTGAGAGTTCATGTAACAGTCAAACAACTTGAGGGAGGTTTCGTGATAAATGGCCCAACAGGCATGTTCAGGGCTCTTTTGTTGTGTTATTAGGTGAATTTGCTGGCATAAGGGCTGCTGCTGGAATGGCGTCAGCATACTAGTTAATACCCCTGTGCTTTGTGATGGGCAGGGGGGGCTCTGTTTTTGACCAACACGACTTTGAATGGGATACTTTTGCATGTAGGAAAGGGTTGCTGATGGCTTTGCTGATTTTATATATATATATATATATATATATATATATATATATATATATATATATATATATATATATATATATATATATAATTTTTTAAAATTATTATTATTATTATTATTATTTTATTTGTTTATTTTTTAAACAACAATTGGGAAACTTTTTGGCCTATTTGTCAGACTCATGAGTCACGTGAGCAACAAATAATAATAAAAAATTAATAAACCAAATAAATAAAAAATATATAGAAACATGCTGCTGAGTTTAAAAACACACACACACTTGTGTTGTTTATAACCTAATTTTACCTAAAAAAAAAAAAAAAAAAAAAGTTTGGCACTGCGCCCAAACAAATTCCTACTGAAAGCTCATCTTTTGAGAGATTAAACTAAAATTTAAAACATAACCTTTATTTTTATTTATTTCTTCTTTATTTTATTATTATTTTATTTGGTAACTATTAAATATTTTATTTTTAGATTTATATTTTAAACGTATATATTTATAGTTTTACTTTTTTATAGTAATTTGCTTTGGGAAATATATTTCATCTCAAAATTGAATATAAGATCCTTGTGAATGTTTATAACAATAGAAATATGGTAAATCAAAATAGGGGGTTTAAAACATAACAACAGTTTTAAAAACAAAACCAAACAAAGCAAAAGCCATGTTTTTCTAAAAATAGTTAACGCAGATACGTGACTACTTACAGCAACAAATGCATATTTTACAGTTGTCATGAGGCAGTCGAGTGTTTAAAAAAGCAGCTAGTTATTCTTTCTCGACAGATAACATCCTCACCTTGCAGCAGCGGTGGGAGAAATTTGCATGAGCCTTTACTAAAGTTACTTCCCTATTATGTGCAGCTGGTTACTGTTCTCTGCCTCAATGAAGCAAGTTGTTTACACGGCTTCAGTTCACGCACTACACACCTTTTGACAGTGCAAATCAAACAAACTCCAGCACGTTCATTCGGGACTAAAAGAGTGGGTGTTGTACTGCTTGTTTGAGACCTAGGAAATCTCAGCCGTGACTTTTTAGAAAAGGGGTAAGATGTTTAGTGCTTTGTTCTTTCTCTGAGAAGCACCAACATGTTGAAATGTCCAGCATTTTTGTATTTCAAGACTATTTGGGGGGTGGTGGATTGGGGGGATTGTTAAAAAAGTAATTAACAGGTAGTTAATTTGGTTTAACAACTGCTTAAATGTAATGGATTTTTAGAATTTGTCCAATTGTTTTCCATCAATGAGCACAGAATGTCAGTAGTCTTATTTGTAGCCTTATTAAATATCTAGAATTTTTGGATTTCGAGATGATATATATATATATATATATATATATATATATATATATATATATATATATATATATATATATATACATATTTTTTTTTTTTTGTCTATGAGAATGCAATGAACAAATTTAAATCTACAGTGAGTATAAAACAAGGCTGAATAGTTGTTGGATTTTGAATGGAACCAAAGCTGTTTATTCCAGATGTCTGGTTCTCCAGTCTCATTTTCTTTCCTTCTATTTTCAAGTTTTTGTTCAAAAAGTGATTACCAGGTAATAAATGTGTTATAACTACTGCATACATATATATTTGAGTACTGTTCAATCCCCTAAAAACATTATTGAACTCAAAATATAGTGCTCATTAACTGGGGGAAAAATTGTTTGAGGTTTTTGGAAGACTAGTTTTATTTATTTTTTTAACTGAAACCAAGCATTTATTCCAGATATTCAGCTCTCAAATCCCTTTTTTCCTTTCTATTTTCAAGGTTTTGTTTAAAAAGTGATTAACATCTAATAAATGTGTTGTAATTACTGCATAGAGATAATTGAGAACTACACAATCTCTAAAAACTTTATTAAACTCAAATATAGTGTACTCATTAACTGGAAAAAAATATATATTTAAATATATATATATATATATATATATATATATATATATATATATATATATATATATATATATATATATATATATATATATATATATATATATATTTTTTTTTTTTTTTTTTTTTTTCCAAGACTGGTTTTAATTTTTTTGAATCTGAAATGGAAACTAAGCTCTTTATTTCAAATATTTGGGCCTCCAATCATTTTTCTTTCTTTCTTTCTTCCTATAGGTTTTTGTTCAAAAAGTCATTAACAGCTAATAAATGTGTCATAACTACTGCGTAAATATAGTTGTGTGTACTATACCAGGCGTTCTCAATTTCTATGAGGTCCGGTGTCCTGCAGGTTTTACAGTAGCTCCAACCCCAAGGTAGCTAATCAAGCTCTTACTTGGCTTTCTAGAAACATCTTTCCAGGTCTGTTGGAGGTAAGTTGGAGCTAAAATCTGCAGGACACCGAACCTCCAGGATCGTGTTCGAGAACCCCTGTACTATACAATCTCCTACAACACATTATTGAGCTTAAAATATAGTACATTGATTAACC